TTTCCTACTGCTGCGGTGCTCTGGGGGGAAGGGACGGGGGTCCAGGAACATGATCGGGAGGTTAGGGAACGAGGGTTTGGAGAGGAGCAGTAGGACAGACGGACGGGGCCCGGGGGCGGGGGTGGGGTGGTGCCACCGGTTGGCATGGCCGCCCCGGGCGTCCTGTGGGGTCCACGAACCCGCCCAAGACGGCCCATGAGGCCCCAAAGACAGCCCAAGAGACCCACAAGACAGCCTCAGCGAGGCCCAAGAGGGCCCCAAGACGCTCAAGAGCGCCCCAACAGCGCCCGAGATGGCCTGAAGATGGCCGAAGAGGGCCCCAACAGGGTCTTCAAGAGGCAAACACCGGCCCATTCCCACTCGTAAAGCATGCATTTTCAGCATACTCGTTTGCTTGGTCCTCGCAGTGCCCCAGACGCCCCCGAGCCCCAAGACAGCCCAAGAGAGACCCAAGAGGGCCCACGACGGCCCAAACGGGTCGTCCTGTGAGGCTCACGGAACCCCCCAAAGACGGCCCAAGAGGCCCCAAAGCCGGCCCAGGATGCCCCCAAGACGGCCTCAGGAAGGCCCAAGAGGGCCTCGTTCGAAATCATGTTCCCAGAAGCCTCTCCGGGAACATGATTTCCGGGTTTCTAGGACGCCCAAGAGGGACCCAGGACGGCCCCAAAAGGGCCCTAAAAGGACCTTCAAAAGGCCCGGATGGCCACAGTTCGTCGATTGGATTTCTTCCGCGCGGAGGAGACGGAGAGGGCGAAGGAGGAGGAGGAGGAGGAGGAGGAGGAGGAGGAGGAGGAGGAGGAAGAGGAAAAGGAGGAGGAGGCAGGGAGGAGAAGTGGAGGGGAGGAGGGGGGGAGAGGAGGAGGCTCGAGGGCGATCGACGATCGGCGACGACGACCGGCGACGGTGATTGACGACGACGACGACGACGACGACGACGACGACGACGACGACGACGACGACGACGACGACGACGACGACGACGATCGACGACGGTCGACGACCGACGACGACACCCATCGACGACGATGACAATAGTCGACGGCGCCGATCGACGATCGACGGCGACGACGACGGCCACGCCGACGGCGACGACGCTGCCCGCGTGACAGCCCAAGAGGCACACACGACAGCCTCATCGAGGCCCCAGAGGGCCCCAAGACGTCCAAGAGCGCCTCAAGAGGGCCCGAGATGGCTTGAAGATGGCCGAAGAGAACCCCAAGAGGGCCTTCGAGAGGCAAAACTTTACCCATTCCTCGTTCAAAACGTACAATTTCAGCATACTCGCTTGCTTCGTCCTCAGAGTGGCCCCCGAGGAGCCCCAAGACAGCCCAAGACGGCCCCAAAGGCCCCAAAGCCGGCCGGGGAGGCCCCCAAGACGGCCTCAGGAAGGCCCAAGAGGGCCTCGTTCGAAATCATGTTCCCAGAATTTTCTCCGGGAACATGATTTCCGGGTTCCCAGGACGCCCAAGAGGGCCCCAGGACGGCCCCAAAGGGGCCTAAAGCTTCATTCAAAAATTCCCAGAGGGCCACAGTTCGCTGAGTTTCGCGAAATGTTGTTGGATCTCTTCCACGCGGAGGAGACGGAGAGGGCGAAGGAGGAGGAGGAGGAGGAGGAGGAGGAGGAGGAGGGGGAGGAGGAAAAGGAAAAGGAGAAGGACGAGGCGGGGAGGAGGAGTGGAGGGGAGGAGGGGGGGAGAGAGGAGGAGGAGGCTCGAGGGCGATCGACGATCGGAGACGACGACCAGCGACGGTGATTCACGACGACGACGACGACGACGACGACCACGACGACGACCGATGACGATCGACGACGATGACAACAGTCGACGCCGCCGATCGATGATCGACGGCGACGACGACGACGGCCACGCCGACGGCGGCGACGCTGTCCGACAGCCTCAGCGAGGCCCAAGAGGGCCCCAAGACGTCCAAGAGCGCCTCAAGAGGGCCCGAGATGGTTTGAAGCTGGCCGAAGAGGGCCTTCAAGAGGCACAAATCGGCCCACTCCCGTTGTACAACGTACGTTTTCAGCATACTTGCTTGCTTGGTCCTCGCAGTGCCCCAGACGCCCCCGAGCCCCAAGACAGCCCAAGAGAGACCCAAGACGGCCGAAGACGGCCCAAAAGGGTCGTCCTGTGAGGCTTACGGAACCCCCAAGACGGCCCAAGAGGCCCCAAAGTTGGCCCAGGAGGCTCCCAACACGGCCTCAGGGAGGCCCAAAAGGGCCTCGTTCGAAATCATATTCCCAGAAGCCTCTCCGGGCACATGATTTCCTGGTTCCCAGGACGCCCAAGCGGGCCCGAAGACGGCCCCCGAAGGCCCTAAATGGACGCTCGAAAAGGCACAGAGGGCCATAGTTCGTTGATTTGCGCGAGATGTTGTTGAGTATCTTCCGCGCGGAGGAGACGGAGAGGGCGAAGGAGGAGGAGGAGGAGGAGGAGGAGAAGGAAGAGGAGAAGGAGGAAGAGGCGGGGAGGAGGAGTGGGCGGGAGGAGGGGGGGAGAGAGGAGGAGGCTCGAGGGCGATCGACGATCGGCGACGACGACCGGCGACGGTTATTGACGACGACGACGACGACGACAACGACGACGACGACGACGACGACGACGACGACGACCGACGTCGACGACGATAGAAGACGATGACAACAGTCGACGTCGCCAATCGACGAACGACGGCGACGACGACGACGTCCGCGCCGACGGCGGCAACGCTGTCCGCGTGCGCAGGGCCACCCTGGACCCAGTCTTTGCGGCATCGTTCGAAATCCTGTCCCCGGAAGCGTCTCCGGGAACATGATTTCAGGAGGAGGAGGAGGAGGAAAAGGAAGAGGAGGCAGATTAGGAGGAGGAGGGAGAGGAGGAGGAGGAGGAGGAGGAGAGGAGGAGGAGTGGGCGGGAGGGCTCGGGGCCGATCGACGATCGGCGACGGTGATCGGCGACGGTGATTGACGATGACGACGACGGTCGTCGACGGCGACGACCGACGACGACGACGACGACGATGGACGACGATGACAACAGCTGACGCCGCCGATCGGCGAACGGCGACGACGACGACGTCTTCACAGTGCCACCCCGAGGAGCCCCAAGACGGCCCAAGAGGGACCCAAGACGACCCATGATAGCTACAAGCCAGCCCAAGAGAGCCCCAAAAGGCACCCAGCAGAGCCACAACGGGGGCAAGCAGAGCTGCCTATAGAGATTCTCGGGAGGCCTCTTCCGCAGCGTCCGAAATCATGTTCCCCGAAGCCTCTATCGGAACATGATTTCGGGGTTCCCAGGACGCCCAAGGGGGCCCATAAGACGGCCCCGACAAGTCCTAAGAGGACGTTCGAGAAAACCCGGAGGGACACAGTTCGTTGATGTCTGCGACATGTTGTTGGATTTCTTGCACGCGGAGGCGGTGGAGGAGGAGGAGGAACAGGAAGAGGAAAGGAGGAAGAGGAGATGGACGAGGAGGAGGAGGAGGAGGAGGCAAGAGGAGGCGAGGGGGGGAGGAGGGGGGTGGAGAGAGAAGGGGGGCGGGGGAGGAGGAGGGAAGAGGGATGATGATGATGATGCTGCTGATGATGATGACGATGATGATGATGGGAGGAGGAGGAGGAAGAGGAGGAGGAGGGCGGAGGAGGAGGAGGAGGGGGGGGGAGGAGGGGGAGAAGGAGGAGGAGGAGGAGGAGAAGGACGAGGAGGAGAAGGAGGATGGGGGCGGAGGAGGAGGAGCGGGAGGAGGGGGGGAGGATGTGGAGGAAGAGGAGAAAATGAGAAGGAAGAGCAAGAGGGAGGCCTCCCCCAAGTGTTCCCTTTATCCGATGTGGCCCAATTCTTGCGCTGCGTCGCAGTGCCGTTTGGCGGGCCATGTAGTCTGAACAGGAGGAGGAGACAGAGCAGGAGAAGGAGGAATGAGAGAAGGAGGAGGAGGACGAGGACGAGGGCGAGGACGAGGAGGAGGCGGAGGAGGAGGAGGAGGACGAGGAGGAGGAGGGAAAGAGGATGGAGTGGAGGAGGAGGAGGAGGAACATGATGAAGATGATGATGGATGATGGATGATGATGATGATGATGATGATGATGATGATGATGATGATGATGATGATGATGATGATGATGACGAGGAGGAGGAGGAGGAGGAGGAGGAGGAGGAGGAGGGAGGAGGAGGTGTGGAGGAGGAGGAGGAAATGTGGAGGAGGAGGCGGAGGAGGAGGAAGAGGATAAGGATGAGGAGGAGGGAAAGGAGGAGGAGGGGAGGAAAGGGGGCGGAGGAGGAGGAACGGGGGAAACGAGGGGACGGTGGGGGGAGGAGGAAGAGTAGGAGGAGAGGAGGAAGAGCAGGGGGAAAGAGGAGGACGAGGTTTTCGGCCGCCTCGGGCCGCCTGGGGGCGAGGAGCGCCCAAAAGCTTTTCGAACCACGACCGCGAAACCCGACGAATAACCGATGCGCATTCAGCCTTCAACCTCCTCGTCCGTTGTTTGGCCGTTGCCCCGGGCGAAGCTAGAACCTAAGCGCGCGCGTAGCGCGCGCGTGGTTCTAGTATATAAATATATATATATATATGTGTATGTGTGCCATATGGTGTGTCATATAATATGCATATATATACATATATATATATATATGTACATAGAGATACGCCATGGTCTCGCAATGTGTCTTCCTTCTCCGACCTTCTCGCGGTGGCGTCCAGGAAGGGTTCAGGGCCAGGGGGCTGTGAATGTTACTGCCAGGGTCACCCAGCCTTCCAGGTTTCCTGTCCCCACCTTCGTTTTTCAATACGCTCCCTGGCCCCTGGCCCCCCCCCCCCCCCCTCGTCCAGGCGCATGCCTCGAACAGTGGTGCGCAAGACTCGCGTCTTCCTGTCCACTTCTTAGGCGCACCGGATTCTCTCTCCTCCTCTCACCCATCCACCCTCCCCTTCCTCGCCTGCTCGCCCCTCCTGCAAGCGCGAGGCCACGCGAGATGGGGCTCCTCGGGCAACGGTCCCGGGGTTCTCGGCCGACCGAGGCCTAGAGCAAGCAGACGGGCTCGCCGACCGTCCCCGAGGAATCCGCAGGTTGAGGGCATGGGCTCCTGATAGGCTGCTGACGTGCATTCTGCTGCCGACAGACTGGGCGGCAAGGGGGAATGGGGGAGGCGGGGGGGGGTGGGGGGGAAGAAGGGAGGAGGATGGGAAAGGGGGGAAAGGGAAGAGGAGAGGAGGGGAGGAGGGAGGGGAGGGAGGGAGGGGAGGGAGGGAGGGGGAAGGTCGGGGGGGGGTGGCGGAGGGGAGGGATGAGGAGCCCTCCCTTCCTCCCCCCCCTGATAGCTTTCTGACTCTTCTCCGCTCCGTTGCTCTGCATTCGTTGAAAAGAGAACTCTTCTCCGCTCCGTTGCTCTGCATTCGTTGAAAAGAGAAAAGAGCTGGTTGTGACCCAACGGCTGCCTTCTGATGCCATGTCCCCCGAGCACTTTAGCGGGAGCCTCCGAGGGATTCCTGAGGTCTTCAGGGGCGAAGTTTTTGTCGGCTTACACCTGCAATCAGCCCTCCCCCCTCTGAGAGATGAACGCGGGGGGGAAAACAAAAACCCTCGGAGAGAGCAGCGCGGGAGGAGAGAAGGCGAAGGGACGGGTGAAAGCCATGCTGTGCATAAGGCGGCCCGCGGCGCGTCGTGACTGGCGGCGGCCGTCCTGGCTCGAGCAGCGCGCTCAGGAGACACCCCTCTTCCTGTGCCTGCCTTGACACTGCCGATTCCGCGCACTACCGCCCCATCCGATTCAGTGAAGAAGCGAGCGCCACCGCACTCGGGACACATGGGTTCCGTGGTCGACTACGCCGCGAGCAACGCGTCAGGCCTCGAGGCCCCACCCGCCGGGCTTCTGGCCGCGGTGCTCGAACCGATCTGGAAGTTCCTGTTCGAGGCCCGCTATGAGATCTTCCTCTTCGCGGTCGCCATCGTGGCGCACACCCTGCTGTTCGGCCGCACGATCCGGAAGCCGGGGATCGGGGCATCCTCAGGGCCCCCTTAAACGAGGCCCTTTTGGCGAACCAGAAGACCCGGCGCTCCCGAGGAAACTGCACCGTCCTGGCGTAGGTGGCCCTGCCGTCCAGTGCTTGAGATGCTGCCTCCTCGCGGGGGTCCCGGGGCCTCCGGCGTCGCGCGCCCTGCACAGCGGGGACCCCAGGAGGTGCATCAGAGTGGGGGGCAGAGCGCTCGTGCGCTGTCCCTCCAGCCGCCTGGAAAAGTCGCGTATGGTTTGCAGGTCGTGTCGAAGAATGGTCCAGGGGACTTCCCCTGGGGGTAGCTCTTCGTCCTGGGGGTCTCTCTCAGTGTCCTGGGGCCAGGCAGCGGCCCCTGGAGGTCACACGCGAGGGAAGACACGAGGCGACGAAGGCAAGCAAGTCGACTAGCACAAATGCATCATTTTTGCAGGGCTGCATGGATGCGTGGCTGAAGTGGGGGCTCAGTGTTTCTTGTTGGCCAGCCCCGCGACCCCCCCGCGTCCTGCCCAGCGACCCGCGGCCCACCCCGCGACCGGCCCCGCGGCCCGGTTTTCTTGTGTGGTTTTCTTCGTTTTCCACTTCGTCAAACAAGCGCATGTTTTGCGGCGGCCATGCTTGTATACATCTCTGTGTGTACATACAGATCTGTATATGGACATGTATGTGTAGATGTATGTGTACATGTATACGTATACGCATACGTATATGTAATGTATATGTACATGCCTATTTGACTATATGTATGTGTATGAATGTTCATATCTATGTATGTATATAGATATTACATCTGTATGTCGAGATATAGTGGCCTTCGGTCCTTCGGCACATCCTGCCACCGTGCCTTGGTTGTGGGTGAACGACCTCTTGGACGGTCGTTTGGACATCGTGGGAGGCCTCTCGGTGGCCTCTGGGAGGCAGTTTTGAAGCCTGTTGGGGGCCGTTTGGGGATCTTTTGGGGGTTCGTTGTGGGTTTGTTTGTGGCCTCGTGGGGTCGCTAGGGGGCCTCTTGGGCTCTCTTTGGGCCTCCTGGGGGCCTCTTGGGGGCGGAAGGCTCGAATTGTCGGTGTGTGTGTTCCCCTTCTTGGGCTTCTCTGGGGGGCAGTCTTGGGGCCCTTTTGGGTGATCTTGGGTGCCTCTTGGGCAGTTTTGGGGTCCTCTTGGACCGTCTTGTGGCCCTCTTGGTGGCCTCGTAGGCAGTTTTCGCACGTTACTGGGCCTCTGGGGCCATCTTGGAGCGTCGGACGCCAGAAAACGCGAGAACGCGAAACACATCGAAAACCATTAGGAGCATCAATGATGGTTGCCTCTTTGGGCCCTCTGTGGGGTCCTCTTGGAGCGCTCGTGGGGCTTCTTTGGGACCTCTGGGGCCGTCTTGGGGTAATCTCGGGCGTCTTGGAGCGCTCTTGTGCTGTCTTGGAGGCCTCTTGGACCCTCTTGAGCGCTTTCTGGCGCCCTCTTGGCCTGTCTTGGGATGGGACCCTTTGGACTCTGGAAAATCATGCGAGGCAGCCCACTGACGCGCGGGAGCGCCCGGGAAATGTGAGAAGTTGGTTTTGAAATGCTATAAGCCCGGAGTCCCGAGTACAGAGAACAGAGGTCACATGAGGAGCTGCAGGACACTCCACTTCTCGCCTTGCGGCACGGTGGCGGATATATGTGTGTATATATATATAGATCATGAGTAAGTCTGTGTATATATATACAGATGCAGACATACATATCAATATGGCGGCGGGTAGACGTTTTTTTTTCGCATGCGGTGACCTTGCATTTGAATCCCGCATGAGGCCGCATGATAGACTGACGCTTTTGTGCTGCGCTGGAGCTTTGACATAACTCTGCGGCTGTGTTTGTTTGTTCGTCCCCCCCGTATGTTTATGGATCGCCTCCTCATCCACGGCTGTCCCTTCCACACGATTTCTGTTTGTTTCGTGTTTTTGTCTGTGTTGCGGCGGTTTTGCCAAACGTGTCCCTCACGTGTGGGATGCGCATGCTAGAGCTTCCGCTCCCAATAGTGGCGGCTTTGAAAAGAGTTCCGTTTGTGTCGTCTTACGCATGGGTTATTTTTTATGGCGAGTTGCCACTGCACAACTGTTTGTGGCGGATGGCATATCGATTCCTGCACTGGCAGGTTACAACTTGATTCCTTTTTTTTTGCGGGGTACAGTGTGATTCCCTTTGTGGTGGGTTGCACTTTGATTCTTCTTGTGGCAGATTACAAACTAATTCCGTTGGTGGCGCATTGCGAGGGGATTCGCTTTGCGGCGGTTTTGCAAAAGTAATTCCTTTTCGCGTCCGATTGCGAGAGAATTCCTGTTGCTGCTGATTACAAAGGGGATTCCGTCAGTGGCGGATTACAAATGGATCGTTTTTGTTGCGGATTGCGAGCGGAACATCTCGCGCGGCCGTTCACAAGTCAATGTATTTTGTGGCGGGCTGCACATTGATTTCTTCTGTTGCGGATTCGCGAGGGTTTTTTTGGGGTGGCGTGCAGATTCATTATGTCTGTGGGGCGCATTACAAGTTGGTTCCCTTTGTGATCCTCCGTGGCAGTGAACCATGAGACAATATGAACAAAAACGCAGGCAACCATTGAAACATTTGAGAATCGCACGTTTTCAGTCGTTTCCCAAAGAGTTGGGCCATACATATCTGAAAAGCAGATCGTTGCTAATAGCTGTGAAGCCAGAGCCGCTGACTAAAATCACAGCGTTTTAAAGACGCGTAGACCCCCGACTCACAAGAAAAACGATCATGCGGAAGTGCGGTATACAAGCATGTATTGTTAGTGCATGGCTGTTGGTCCCAAATGACAGAACACAATGTGTTTTATTACTTGTTGCCGCCACAAAAGAATTAATTCGCAGCCCGCCACAAACGCCACAAAGGGAATCAATATGCAATCCGCAACAAAAGGAATACATGTATAATCCGCCACAACATAATCAATGTATAATCTGGCACACAAGAAATTTGTTTTTGTGTAGTCCGCCATCAGAAAAATTCGGTTGTAATCCGTCACATGAGGATTCCGTTTGTAGTTTGCCAGAAGAGGGGTCAATTTGCAATTCTCCGCAAAAAGATTATTGATTCAATCCGCTACGACAAGAACCAATGTGTGATCTGGTTCACAGCATGATTTGTTTGGACAGAGCTGCCAAGCATACACGTCGCTGTAACACATTTTCAAACCGAAGCAAGCCACACTCAAAAAGATGAAGAATATAACACACAAGACGAAAACGAGGAAAGAAGAGGAGCAAGGCCAACAAAACGAGGGGTACACTCTCACACACATACACACGGCTTTGTCAACCTTGCCCCCCCCCCCTCCCCCAGGAGGCCCGCGAAGCACCAGGGCACCGCGGCCAAGGCCCGCGGCATGCCGGAGGCGAGCGCGCCCCGCGTGGCGCGGGTGCCCAGCGGCGGGCAGCTTGGCAGGACGCTCGGCCTGGCGCACGAGGCGGGGGACCACCGCCAGGTGCCTGCGGCCCGGGCGGGGCCTCCCTTAGGGAAACGACTTTTTTTTTGATTCGCGGGTCGAGAGCGCACCTCTTCCGGTCGAAGTTAAGCGGGCCGCGCGAAACTTGAATTAACAAAGAGGGGGGGACAGAAAGAGAGGCCTCACGTCAAGGCCAGGAGGAGGCAAAGCCTCGGGATCAGGCGTCCTTTAGGGAAACGAAGGATGACATGATTTGTTCGTCAGCGGCGAGGCGGCGACGAAGTCCGCTCCGGCGAGAAGCTAGCGAGGGGCACTGACTGGCGAATTGCCCAGCGGGCACAGAGGGGGGGGGGGGACGGCCGAGAGGACGAAGGGACGCTCAGGGAGGCTTTCTCGCCTGGGGGATGCCTTCCACCAGCTGCGCCTGGTGGAGGGGGTTCAACGTTCCCGGGTCGCCCAGATGATCCCGAACGGCCGCCGGAGACTCAGACCCGAGTTGTGGTTTGGAAGCCCCTGGGATCGGCGCGGGGGTCGCTGATGGGATCGGGGGGTTGTCAGTGGATGCCAGGGTGGGTTTTGTTTGGCCCCCCACTTTGGAGCCGGCTGGGGGTCTGAGATGGCCCAGCGCTCGCCGTCGCTCGGACGTCCAGTTCCCGTGCATTTTTCGGTTTTGTGCGTGTTTTTTTGCTCAACGGTCCAGGATGGTCCTCGATGGTTCTCGCCGGGAGAAAAATGCACACGTCCAAGCGATGCTAGGAGCGCTGGTCCTGGCCAGCAGGAAAGTTATGGGCGAGCGTCAAGGCTCTGAGCCCAGCATGCCTAGCCTTGCTCGTGAGTCGGTTGCAGGTGCCTCTCGACGGCGAGCGAGGGGGGGCGGAGTGAGAAGGAGAAGGCCTCCTCAGAAGGCTCGGAAGTCCCCCCCAGCCCTCTGAGAAGTTTTCGGAGCTTTCCCCGGATACACAGAAAACTTGTCAGAAGGCGCGAGGCCTTCTGAGAAGGCCTTCTCCCTCTCGTTTCCCCCGTCGCTCGCCGCCACGCCTCAAGTGGCTTTGGGGGGGTTGATGACCCCGCTAACTGGGCAGAGCCCGTTTCGCCAAGAGCACGAAATCCCCTACTAAACGCCTTGCAGCTTACTTCTGCAAACCAGGTTCGGCCCCGCGCCTATCCCAGTGGGCGAGGGCGCCCCCTCCCAGGAGATCTCCAATGACTTGTTCTGTTTGTTGCCCACCCGGGCGGCTTCCCTGGGGCGCCTTTTCGGTCTCTGGGGTCCGTTCTCGGGCCCCGGGGCCAGCAAATATGCATCCGACGTGAAAAAACTGGCCCCAGGAAAGAGGCCTGGCATCGCTTGGACGTGTGCCGTATTTTTCTCGGCGAGAACCATCGAGGACTATCCTGGACCATCGAGCAAAAGAAACACGCGTGAATCCGAAAAATGCACGGGAAATGGACGTCCGAGCGACGGCGAGAGAGGGGGGGGGGCTTCTGGGACCGCGGACTGGACACAACATGCCGGCAGATGTCAAGGCCTCCCTGCCCTTGGGAGAGCCTAGAGGAGTAAAGGTAAAGATGCCGCTGCCCGTCCTGGAGAGCTCTCGCGGCCAACCACGCCGCACACGGCATGCAGAGTGGTGCGGCGGGGGGGAGAAGCATAACCTCTAACGCTGCGGAGGCGAAGGAGTGGGGGCTGACGTTGTGGATGCGCAGAATGTCGAATTCAGTGGTGCTGCTCACCGGTTGCGCCGCTGCCATTCCATCACTGCTTGCAAGTTGGATCTTCATTGTCCTCTGTCCGATGGATGCCCCCACCATGATCGTGTGCTGATTCGCCCCCTCTCGATGCTGAGAAGACGGCAGCGGCCGCATTCGCTGATTCGCTGGTAAGAGACACACGAGTATTGTGGCGGGGAGGAGGCACGACAGTGTGATTCCACGTGCGCGTGCTTGTTCGCTTTCGCGCTCGGCCTACTTCTGCGTTAGGTGCTCTGGAAGGGAACCCGGCGCATCGACGCGGGACGCCGACGTATCGACGCGACATTGGTCGCTTTGCGCAGTGCGTATCTGAATGTACCACACACCATCGAGCGGGTGGACACTCGACGGAAGCATTGGCATGAGGTTGAATCTGGGTAAACACCAGCAAATCCTGATAAGCTCTCTAAAGTCATGTGGCTCGAAGACCTGGCTAGCGACTTCGCTGGCCGAAGATACACCCTTGCAGGCTTTGCCGCGCAGTACCTCGGGGTGGAGATTCGCCCGGAGGGCCACCTCGGGGAGGTCGTGATTGAGTTCCGGGGCAGGGTTCGGGCGCTACGTAAATTGGGACGTGGTTTTGCCACGGCTACTGTCATTCTCAAATCCACGCGTTTGCTTGTGGCGATGTACATGTTGCAGCTCTGCGCGCCCCCGTTTAGCGTACACGATATTTATGTGGATTTAAACATAGATATACAAGACTGCAGTGGCGTTTCGCGCCATGCACCTTGGTCCTTGAAGTGCGGCATGCAGGCGGAATAGCAGGAAGGTCAAGCCGACAATTTCGCGATAACTCCTTGTTGCCTTTTACCTGCATCGTCGCTATAGTAACGTGATCCGTTATAATTCCTCCATGTCTTTTTTCATTATCGCCATACCCTGCGCATTCTCCCCATCATCCTCAGCTTTTTTTCCCAACCATCCTGTGGTGTTGGGTCCTCGTTTTGAAGAGACGGTGCCCCGCGTCTCCTTCTCCTCCCGCTGCCCCCCGTCCCTCCTCCCCCATCCATGCCATCACGAAGGTCCCAGTGGCGCAGGTTGCATGCGCCCCCCCCCCCACCCAGGACAGCGCTTCGTGGCCCCATAGGGAGCTCCACCGAAGGCCCCAGTGTCGCAGGTTGCATGCGTCCCCCAACCCAGGACAGCGTTTCGTGGCCCCACAGGGAGCTCCACCGAAGGTCCCAGTGGCGCAGGTTGCATGCGTCCCCCCCATCCAGGACAACGCTTCGTGGCCCCACAGGGAGCTCCACCGAAGGTCCCAGTGGCGCAGGTTGCATGCGTCCCCCCCGCCCAGGACAGCGCTTCGTGGCCCCATAGGGAGCTCCACCGAAGGTCCCAGTGGCGCAGGTTGCATGTGTCCCCCCCGTCCAGGACAACGCTTCGTGGCCCCACAGGGAGCTCCACCGAAGGTCCCAGTGGCGCAGGTGGCGCAGGTTGCGTGCGCCCCCCTAACCCAGGACAGCGTTTCGTGGCCCCATAAGGAGCTCCACCGAAGGTCCCAGTGGCGCAGGTTACATGCGTCCCCCCCACCCAGGACAGCGCTTCGTGGCCCCATAGGGAGCTCCACCGAAGGTCCCAGTGGCGCAGGTTGCATGCGTCCCCCCTGCCCAGGACAGCGTTTCGTGGCCCCACAGGGAGCTCCACCGAAGATCCCAGTGGCGCAGGTTGCATGCGTCCCTCCCACCCAGGACAGCGCTTCGTGGCCCCAGAGGGAGTTCGGCTTCAGCGAGTTCATCCGCGAGGCCTGATCTGAGGGGCCGCCGCCGCGGCTGGCCGCGCGCGAGCCGGCGGCGCGCGCTGGCTGTCACGGACAGTTGGATGACCCCGGCCCGTCGTCGGAATTTCTCGCTGGAGAATGACCGGCGCCTGTCGGGGGGGATTTCGCCCAGATCGCGCCTTGTTCGCTTCGCCTCTCCGCGCAGTACGGGGCTCTATCCGTGAACTCTGAGTCGCAGTGGACGACCCCCGCGCGTCGATGGGATTCCTTCGGGATGACCAGACCGCGTCGGTGGGGACTCCCCAGCCACTTTCGCGCGGCGCCGACTGCGCGGTGCACTCTGCGTGGCTCACTATCTGCCCAGGGCCAAAAATGTCACCCCTCGTTTCTCGCTCCTGTTGCTTCCTTTCGCTTCTTGACCGCGCGCCCCCTGGTCTCGTTTCTGCCGCTGCTGACTTGCCCATGGCATCTGTGCGGTGTCTCCGTAACCTGTTCTTGCGTGTCCAGTAACAGGTCTCCAGATGCGCTGATGCTGATGTGGTGGCTCGCCCCACTGAGCCCTCCTCCTCCGCCAGCCACCTCCTGCCCGCGCTGCCCTGTGCCTCGTGCGTGCAGTGGCGCGGCGCCTATGAAAAGAGGGAGCTAGTTTGCGTGCCCCCCTCCTTCGTGTCATATCCTGCGCGGCACTCGCAGCTGCATATGGTTGGGTCCTTCGTCAGGCTATTTTGCGGAGGCCCCTCCTTGGAGAGCCTCTGGGGGCTTCGCAAAAATTGTTTCAGGTTTTCTTGAGCCCTTCTGGAGGCCTCCTGGGCGTATTCTGGAGGCCTCTGGGGGTTTCCTCGGGCCACCCTGCCTCCAACCGCGGTCTCCCTGAACGACCGGGTCACGATTTGGAATGCTTCGAAGGGCGTTTTGGGGCCATCTTGGGCCGCCGCGGGGCTCTCTGAGGGCCATTTTGGACCCGTGTTGTGCCGTTTTGGTGCTCTTTTGGACTGTCTGGAAGCCTTTTTCGGATGGTTGCGGGGCGATTTTGGGGCATCCCAGGCGGCTTCGGACGCCCAGAAGACCGCCGTCTTGGAGCGTCGGGAAGCCGAAAAAAAAATAACCCCAAATTTCACCAAAAATCAACAGAAAGTTTAAGATTTTGCCTGTTGGGGCCTTCTTGGGGGTTCTGGAGTTGTGTATGGCTGTGGGGCAGCGATCGCACCTCGCACTCGGCGCCCAAACTCGCACTGCATACTCGCACTTCGCACTCGCACCCCGCACTCGCCCCCGCACTCGCCCCCCGCACTGTGCGCCCACACTCGCACTTCACACTCGCACCCCGCATTCGCGCCCACGCTCACCCCCCACGCTTTGCGCCCGCGCGACACGAACGCGAGGCGCGGGTCAACTCGGCGCGCCAAGTCGGGGACGCCCACCCCACGGTCAATTCGCGCTTCCCATTCGAGGAATCAGCCCAGACAACCAGCTCGTGAAATCCATTCGGCACCTCCAATCGCGAAACCCATTCGGCAAATCAACCTGGCACATCCACTTACGAACTCAACTCGGCAGGCCGCCCCGCGAAATCAACTCTTTCTAAAGCAACTCTCTAACTCAACTCTATAAATCAACACGGCAAATCAACTCGGCAAACCAACCGGGGAAATCAATTCAGGGAACCCACTCGCACCTCGCAGTTGGAATGGCAAGTCAAAACCCAAGAAATCGACGCCAATTCAACTCGCAATCTCAGCGTTCCGTACAAGCGAACTCCACGCATCAACTCGGGAAATCAACTCGGCAAATCAATTCGGCAAATAAACTCTGCAAATCAATTTTTTAAAATCAACTTGGCAAACCAATGCTGCAAATCAACTCGGTAAGTCTGCACACCAACTCGGGAAACCAACTCGGAAAATCAACTCCGAAAACCAAGTCTGCAATTCAACTCTGCAAATCAACCCGGTAAATCAAATTCTGTAAATCAATTCGTCGAACCAAGTCGTTCAATCAAATCGGGGTCTGGTGTGGGGTGTGAGTGTGGGGTGAGAGTATGCGCGTAAACTGTGGGCGTGGAGTGTGGGGTGTGTGCGTGTGGGGTGCGGGTGTGAGCGTAGAATGTGGGGTGTGAGTGTGGGGTTCGAGAGTGGGCGTGCAGTGTGGGGTGCGAGAGTGTGCGTAGACTGTGGGCGTAGAGTGTGGGCGCGAGTGCAGGAGGCGAGTCTGGAGTGCGAGTGTCGGCGTGGACTGTGGGCGCGAGTGTGTTCGGCGAGTTCGGGCGTCGAGTGCGGTGCGTTTCTGGCCTCGAGCTAGTGCTGGCCCCTCAGACATACACAATCTTGGAGGCCTCTTTGGGGTCGTCGTGGAGGCCTCTTGGGCCATCTTGGGGTCACGTCAGTCACTCTTGGAGCGCTCTTGTGCTGTCTTGGGGGTCTTTGGGGCATCTCCGTTGACCCCCGTGATCGCCCTAGGTGTGCTGGGAAGGCTTGGCAAAACGCCCTGCGAGGCCTAAGGGGCCGCTTCGAGGCCCGTCCGGAGGGTCCCAAAGCCCCAGATCCTGGGAGTCTGGTTTTTCTTTCGGGGGGGTGGGTCCCCCCGCCAGGGTTTGCAAAACTATAGGAATAGGAATATATATATATATATATATATATATATATATATATATACATACAGATTCACACATATCTTTCATCATGGATAAAAGCAGATAGGGGAAAAGCAAATCCTTTATCTCGTTGCTGCCCAAGGGTTGTTTTTGTTCTGGATGCCGACGCCGCCTGGTATGAAGTCTCTCGGTCTGCAGGCAACCTTGCTCTGGTGAGCTGCGCTGGTGCGGTGCAGCTACGTGCCGCCGCGACGTGCCCATCTTCCGTGGGAGTTGCGTTCCGACTCGGCGGCAGGACCCATATGAGGAGCACGACACATGTGTTGGAGGACGGGGTGTACATGTCAAAGACGTTGCGTGGGTGGTGGGGAGACTTGTTATTCTGCCAGGCGTGTCGCTTGAGCAGGGCGTGTCAGAACGTTTTTGAATGCGACCCCTCATGGAATCTCAAAGGAGAGACTGTAGAGGAGGTTCTTTGCTGCCCGGTGTGTCTTGACCCTGGGGACCTCGACAATTGCCCCGACAAGGATCCATCAACAGGATCTTCTTGGCTCCCACGACCGATCCCCGTGGACGTTGCCCAAATTATTGGAAATATTCGGTCGATGGTGGAACGCGCCAAGATGTACATCGGTCTCGCCCCACTCTGTATCAAGTGTAGCAGGAAGTGCGCCACTGCCCGATTCCAGCAATTGCGTCGTGGTTATGGCTTTGGCTGACTCCACCTTGACGATGGGAGAAGCGACCTCGATGGTATGGTACACTATCGGGCGTGCCCTTGCGTGCAGGAGCTCGTGAAGAAGCGACTCGGGCACCATGTGTATTGTTGCCAACACGGTTCCCTGCCTCTGGCCGAAGCGATGCTGTGTTTTGCTTCCATGCGCGGAGCTGTTCTGCACACTCGCTCGAAGGAAAGAGTGGGCAGCACAATAGAGCCCGAGGAGCGATTTGAAGCAAGAACGCGCCTTCACTGCAGGCAGCATCGGGCGACGCAGCTGGCGTGGCTAGACCGAAGGATGATTGGAGGAACGGGGGCAGGATGAACACACAGCATCCCTATCATTATCGTCGCCGTCGCCATCCTCCTCATCACCATCATCATGAGCAGCATCATCTACTTTCTGTATCTTCATCTCCATCTCCATCTTCGCCATCATCATCATCATACAAAGGAGGTGCGCAGGGGGGAAGCGTCTCCTCTCCCCCACCTCCTCCCCCCCTCCTGCTGCTCCTCCTCCTTTTTCGTCTCCTTCTCATCCTCCTACTGTTTGCTACTCCTCGTCCTTCCCTCCTCCTTCTCCCCCCCCCCTTCCCCCCCTTTTCCCCTCTCCTCCTGGCCCTCCCCATCCTCCGCCAGGTGCTCCGCTGCTGGAGCCAGAGCGCACCAGAACTCGCAGCACGGTAGCCCCCCCCCAGGCTCGCGCGGATGTCTTCGATCGGCGCGGGGCCACCGGGCCGCCATCCTCGCGCCCCCCAGGCGGCGCCCACGGTGCCGCCGACCTGGGCTCGCCCCGCGCGCTGGGGGAGGGGTGCGAGGAGGCACGCCTCAGCGCCGACCGAAGAGGTCCTCGGCGCACCTCCGAAGCCGAGCTGCCCAGATGCGCCCGTGCTGAAACGCAGCGCGTGCCGTGTTCAAAGCGTCCGTGCTAAAACCCTGCCTGTCGGCTCGGCACGTGTTGGTCCGGGCGGGTGGCAACGGGAGGTGACCCAAAAGGGGGTTGCAGAACAGGGCCCTGAAAGGCAATTTCAGGGCCCCTTTGGGAGCCAGCTAGGGCCCTGAAGGGGCCCTTGAGGGCCCTCTTCGTCCCCCCCCCAATGGGGTCACTCCCCATTGCCACCCGCCCGAATGTGGTGGCCCACGCTTTGGCGAGCGTATCGCGACGGACCTGCGTTTTCAATCTGCATGCTGAGCTCCGTGTCAGCACGCTACGGGCTTCGTGTTGCGTAGCGGGGCAGCTCAGCTCCGAAAGTGTTCCTGGCCGCGCTGCTGCTCTTTTGCGTTGCTCCTCGAGGAGCACCGGCAAGCGCCTCGCCAGGGCGCCGGAGGCTCGGGCGGGGGCCAAAGTTTGCCCTGCGTCGTCGTCCTTGTCGTCGTCCTGGTCGTCGTCGTCGTCGTCGTCGTCGTCGTCGTCGTCGTCGCCCTTGTCGTCCTCGTCGGCGTCGGCGTCGCGGTGGTGGTGGTGGTGGTGGTGGTGGTGGTGGTGGTGGTGGTGGTGGTGGTGGTGGTGGTGGTGGTGGTGGTGGTGGGTGGTGGTGGTGGTGGTCGTCGTCGTCGAAGTCGAAGTCGAAGTCGAAGTCGGCGGCGGCGGCGGCGTGTGGCAGCGGCAGCGCCGTCGTCGTCCTCTTCATCATGCTCCACGACGCCGCGGCACTTCGGGACCAGCGGTCGGGAGTGGGTCGCAGCGCCCAATAGCGTGCAGTGGTGTCCTCGTGATGTTCATCTTCCCCGTCCTCCTCCTCCTTCTCCTCCTCCTCCACCTCCTCCTCCTCCTCCTCCTCCTCGTCCTCCTCTGCCACCTCCTCGAGGCTACGGCCTCCACGCCATGCCCTCATGGGCACGGGCGGGATTTCCTGGCGGAGCGCGCACGACTCCGCCGCCCGTTTCGTCTCGCCTCTCGTCTCGTCCTCCTCTCCACGCGGAGTTGGACGACTTGGCATCGCCCAGACGTGTGCGCCTTTCTCGGCAGGGGCCGTTGAGGAGCACCTTGGAACATATTGCAAGAAGGTGGAGGATTTCCGCCTTCACGTAGTGAAATCAAAACATAAAAACCCCACACTGCCAGGGCATATGCAGTGTGTTGGGAGAGACCTAGTGCACCTCGGCCGCTCCAAACCTCAAACGGCCTAGGAGGGGAGGGGACGACTCAGAGGTGCACGTACACGTCCAACGCCTCCAGGACCGGCCCCCCCCCGAGGGGAGGGGGCCCCCCTGCCACCCGCCAGGCACTCCAGGCACTGGCCGGGGACACAGGACACCCCTCGCCACCAGGCGGGGCACCTGGTGCGAGTCTCGGGGCGGGTGCCCTGGCCTGCTCCCCCCAGTCCCCTTGCCCAAGGGGGACAGAGCAGGACTCCCCATGAGCCTGGCCGAAGCCAGCCCCCCCCTCCACACCCTGGCGCGACCGGGGAGTCGCCTGGCCAAGACAGTGGAGGGGACCCGAATCGGCCGTAGCCGAATCGGGATTACCGTTTAGGCCCGAAGACCGGGGTTGTTTTCCATCCCTGAAGTCCATCCTCCAAGTCCCACGAGGGGCGCAGGCGGCCTCCGAAGGCCGCAGTGGAGGAAACTCGCCGCGGATCTGGGCCTGAACCCTTGCATTCAGAGCCCCGAATCATCAGGGGTAACTCGGGTCAGGGATAACTCGGGTTCGTTTCTCGGGAATCCAAACCCGAGTTACCCCGGACCCGAGTTACCCCGGATAATTCGGGCGCCCAATGCATGGGCATCGCTCGGCATCTGGACCCAGACCTCCGACGTCGTGTCTTCGGTTCGCAACCTGGGCCCTCGGGGGTAGAGACCACTTCGCCAGGACCGGCGCTTCACCCGGACAAGCTGTTCCCTAAGTCCCGGTGCCCAGCGAGAGCCCCCGGAGGGCCGAGGAGGACATATAAGAATCCAGTCCTGCTGTTTCGTCACGAGAGTGATGCGCCGACTTTCCACCACCACTACCACAGGAGTGGGAGGAGGAGGAGGAGGAGGACGAGGAGGGGGGGGAGCAGGAGGAGGATGAGGAGGAGGAGGAGGAGGAGGAGGAGGAGAAGGAGGAGGAGGAGGAGGAGGAGGGGGAGGGGGAGGAGGAGGAGCAGGAGGAGCAGGAGGAGCAGGAGGAGGAAGACCTCCCTGTCCTCCCGCCTCCCCTCTCCTACCTGTGGTAGCGGCGGTGGAACACAGGCCCATCAGAGAGGAGGTGAAGCTTGGGAGGGGGAGGCCCCTGGGCGGGCCGGGCTGGGCCGTCGCCAGGCCGTCGTCGGGCGGCCGCGCGGCCCCCTGGCAAGAGGTGCCCCTCGCGCCCGTGGTGGAGGCCATGCGGCGCGCCAAGAAGGACGAGGCGTGCATCGTGGCCGAGCTGAGGCCCGGGCGGGGCGCCAGCTGCCCAGGAGGAAATGCTTCGAGAGCAGTCATTCAATAGTCTGGGGACGAGTTTTCGTGTTTTTGTGTTATACTGTGTCTGAGGGTGCGTTGACTATGTTCGGTTTTTCTGCCGAGGTCCGCCTGTAGGAGGACATGCCCGACCCAAGCCCAGAGCTCAGACGATGTGTCCTGTCCAGTGTGAGCGATTTGTTCCTTGGGCTCGTCCCGTGGGGCCATTTGCTGGGGCCAGGGGCCATCAACAATGGATCTGGTGAGGGGATCAAGATCGGGGGATGTCAGGGTAGCCATCGGGATGGGCGCTGGGGTTGCTAGGGGGCTAGGGGGATAGGCTGAGAGGGGTTAACGATCGGGGCTAAGATAGCCTCGACCACTTTAATGAGCGGTAGTATCGAACCCCCCGAAGCCACCTGGGGCATGTGTAGACCCGCTTATAAGCCGGGTTCGGCCAGGCATGACCCACCTTGGCGTCCATGGATCGACCCCGCATCCTCTCAGCGCTCCCCGCGCCGAGCCCAAGGCCTCCCCTGCCATCCATCCGTGAGAAAAACATACAAACACACACACACACACAAACAACACACAAAAACACACACTGTGGGAAAACACACACACACACACGCACACACACAACACACAACACACAACACACAACACACAACACACAACACACACACACACAACACACAGCTAATTGCTAATTACTCGCTTGCTTGGATTGAAGCGTGCAGCGGAAGCGCACCCCACCCCGAGGGCGGGTCCGCGGGGGACGCGCCGCGCCCGCGCGGAGGCGGCGACAGCACGGCCACACGGCCTTCGGTGATCCCGAGACGGACGCTGTGGCCTCCAGCTGGTGCCTCCCTGTCTTACCCATGAGATCCTGGCGCCGCGATGCTGCACTCCGGGAGGTTGCTCCCCCCAGAACCAACAAGGGGCGATCACGATCGACCCGCCCGGAGAGACGTGCCGCAGGAAGAGGGGGCCCGAGGCCGCAGTGGGCACACTGTACCTTGGCATCGCTCGGGCGTGTGCATTTGTTCCTTCGGCGAGGACCATCGAGGAGCATCCTTGATTATCTGGCGAAGAAAAAACGCACGAAACCACGCAAAACATATGGAATGGACGTCCGAGCGACGGCGAGGTATATACGGTCTCGCGTGCGTTCGCGGCGTCGGATCCAGGGGTCGTCGCGCCGTGCAGAATCACGATGGATGCGTTTCCCCCACTCTCAGCCTCCTGGGGCTTGCCCAGCCCTGGCGCTGCAAGAGAACGGCTCCGGATGAAACGCTCGTTGAATTTTTGTAAGCGTTTCCCCACCTCCGCAGCTATGTGCCTCGGAGGCCCCACTGAGGGTCGTGCTAGCAGCACGCTGCGCACTGTACACCAGCTTTGGGTCCGGAAAGTCATTGTGAGAACTGGTCTGACATCAGGGAGGGCATTTTGTGAACCACGATGCCGGAAGTCTGGGAAAACACCAGCGCTGGTCCTTCGGGAGGGGAAAAGCTCACAGACACAATGAATTGCCGACTCCAAAACAATAAAAATATGGGAAGCGGGGGGAAAACAATAATCAAACAACCATTCAAACATACGGGGGAATCGTGGCATTTGTGTGTATCTATTTGTGTCCCTGGGCCCTTTTGGTCCTGGCCAGGCCGGCCCTGGGCCCGGGGCGGGGACAGTTTGTCGCCCGGGCCAGGCGGAGGCCAGCGCTGCGTAGTCACGAGGGCGCGTCTCTGCCGAGGTTGCGTCTGGTGCTGAACCCAGTGGGGTGCTTGGAGGCGCCGCTGCACGCAGCTTCCCCTGTGCAGGGGGGAGGGAGGAGGAGGAGGAGGAGGAGGAGGAGGAGGAGGAGGAAAAGGAAATGGAGGAGGAGGAGGAGGAGGAGAACCCCCCCTTCTCCTAGTGACTGCCCTAGTGCCGCCGTGCCTTCTCAAATTTTTTGTTTTGCATGTTGAATGCGGTCGTACCCTTCACGGTCGTGGGCGCGCCGCTCTACGCAGTTTTCCCGACGGCGCCCTCAGAGTTGCTTCTGGTTGGGAGAGCGCCCCCTCTCAAGCCAGCAGCAGCGCACCAGAGGTCATCCTTGGCAAAGGCCGCCCACACGTAGAGCCGAGTACCCAGACACCCGACGTGGCAGTTTGTTCGCAACGTGGCCCCCTAGATGTTGGGACCCCGTCCTGGGTACCAGCTTTTCACACTGAGTCGTTCCTTGACGGCTGCAGGGTCCACTAGCGCCCTTGGAGGCTGAACGTCGCCAAAACGGTTCCGTTGTGTTGTTCTGTTCGCGACGCGAGGGAATCAGGGTAGATATGAGCCGATTCTATTTTCCAGTTGGAAACAGCGAAGAACGGAGTGTGCTTCGACCCACTGCCCCAGATACCCAGACCCATTCCTTGCGGGCACGGTCGTGTTTCGCCCCAGATCCGTTTTTGAGGATCCCGAGGCCCGATATCGGGCCTTGGAGGCCGAAATCCAGCAAAACGCACGGGTTGGCAAAAGCCATATCATCGGAGATTTGGGGTGCAAACCGATCTTGGGCCCAGGGGTCCTGGCCAGGACTTGTGTGGGTTTACAAGATCTCCGAAACCAATCTCGAAAGCGTCGCGCGGCGCGCAATAGTTAGATCACCTGGTCCGCACGTTCGGCCCGTCATGTGTGGGACGACGTTCGCTGGGCGATGCTCCGACGTACGTCCCCGACGTAAATCCGACGCAGTGCGACGTGATTCTTGCGTAAATCTGACATGGACCCGTCATAACTTGGTCTTCATGTTGCCGCGCGAGGCCTCGAGGAAAACCCGAATTTGGGCGGCGCGCCCGGGCGGGACGTGAGCAGGTGGCGGGGACTCTCAGAAGCCCCATCGCCTTCTGAGAAGTGTGCCTTGTCTTCTGGGAGGCTTAGATCGAAACCTGATCCGCACGGTCGCCCCGTCATGTGTGGGACGACGTTCGTTGGGCGATGTTCCGACGTACATCCCCGACGTAAATCCGACGCAGTGC